AACTCACGTTGCTAGGGGGTTGCCATGGCATCGCTATGTTGTTGGTAAGGGGTTTTAGGACTTGACCCCGAAGTCTGGGGTGGAGTGGGGGAATTCTAGAAAGCAGGTTATGTGACATACCCCGGTATGTTTAAGGGTAAGAAAGCGGATAAACTCAGACTATCCATTTCCCAGAAAGTGCAATATCTAGGCTACAGTCAGATCTAGAGAGGTGGAGATGCATACATTAGTCAGATGTCTACGTAATGGGGGTAGTGGTCAAAATAGTAATCTCTTAATCTCTCATTATGAATTTGAAAGTATGAGGTAACGCCTGACAGCGTATTTAAGAGGCGGTATCACCATCAGTGAGGACAGACTGTTCCTCTGCAAACACTGACGTCTGCAACAGGTGAGTTTACTTACTTCAGTCTTTGCTGCGCAAAACTACATGATAGCTTATTTATTGAAACGTATTAAGAACTGTTTTTGAACTGCTAAACTGTTTCACACCATCCTGCGACACGACAAACGGTTCAATCATCGTCAACAATGTGCGCGCTTGCAGTTTGGACAGAATCGCGTCATCTTACCTGCTCTTGATCTGTTTATTCATTGACTGAACGCAGGTGGAGGGATACTCGCTTCCAAAACAAGCATTTTTTCCCCATTTCATTTCAACGTTGTAATTCTCCAGTGTAAATCATAAAAGTGAAAGACCGAAAAATATTAGTGGGAAAGCTAATTTTAAAAATTCTGTTTTTAGCGTTATTTACATTTAACTTTTCCTCTCCACAGTTTGTGCCAAAATATGCTGTCATAGCTACATTTCTGCCATAAAATTTCCACCGTTGTCGTCACTGTCGTAAAGTTAAAGTTACATTTTGAAAAGAAAAAGAAATGTGACAAACAACATAAAGATTCTTAAAGCGTTTTACGACGTTTGAACGAAATGCCATGATTGTTATTGCTAGCCTTTACATTAATAATGACAATATATTTTCTAAAGAAAATGCAAGTAGTGCTGGTTTGTGGGGAAACTCACGTTGCTAGGGGGTTGCCATGGCATCGCTATGTTGTTGGTAAGGGGTTTTAGGACTTGACCCCGAAGTCTGGGGTGGAGTGGGGGAATTCTAGAAAGCAGGTTATGTGACATACCCCGGTATGTTTAAGGGTAAGAAAGCGGATAAACTCAGGTAACTCTTAGGGTATGTAAGTAGCCATAGCAACTTATCCTCTGAACATAACCTGCTCCAGAGCAGCTTCTTGCCTTGTCCAAATACCCACACTTGCGGTCTTTGCACTTGACCACTTGACTACTTATATGACGTATTTCCTGTATTTGGCCCAAGTGTTCAAGTGAGCATGTAGACCACAAGTGTGTGTCGAACTTTTCATTACCTGATGGAACACACTTGTAGTGTTGTAAAAATGCAAGTGTTTACATAGCTTTATTTAAATTTAAATTTTAAATACTTTGCATTTAAAATCAACTTCTAAATGTCTGTTCAGTAGTCCTTATAACATGACAATTTTAATTTGTGGTGCTTCTAATTAAGTGAAAAAGCAGTTGCAAATGTTGTACAAAATAAATATCACCACTACTCATCTTTGCACCAATAAAACGTAAAAACACTGTTTTTCTACCAAATTATATGTAATATCTAATTATTATATTAATATTTAACTTTCATTGGAAAGGTTTCCGTGACCTCTCCCGAGATCTCGGCAAAAAGTCTCACGATTTATTTCCAGAACATGATGCATGATGCGATACACTAAGCCTCGAATAGCGCTCCGGAGCCGTATTCGAGATAGTGTGGATTTAGCGTGCGTTAAGGGCACTGCGCTCTGGCGTTTTTAAGACCTGGGACAGTCTTGCGCACTTACTTCCCGTCGCGCGCAC